AGTGCTATATTACGGTCAATCTAAACACTTGAACATATATCGGATTTCTTTTCCATCCCAATTTCAATTTATTTATTTCGTAACTGTACACGCTTACGCACACAAAAGCCAAATCCGTGATCAATTACACGGTTTAAATATTTTACAAAGTGCAGGCACTTTCAAAACAAGATTATAACCCAATAATTGAGAGCATAAACCTCTTAAAACGTTTGTAGAAAAGCCCATCATGAATAAGAGATCATTGTCAAGGCAATTAATCTTTTCTGAAAGAGATTAACGCCATTGCTGACAGCGGTAGGATTTGGCGGGGCAGGGCTCCAACAGTGAACGCCGCATACAACGTATTAAGAAGGAATCGATAATATGGTGATTCTTACTAGATCTGCTATGAACGACGACGCAGGATTCATACTGGATTCATACTAAGCAAATAAATGAAATGTCTAAACTCAAGGTTATCTGCAAGAGAGAATTTTAAGAAACTTTGTTCATAACAGAATATACATGATTTCTAAGATGCCTATGATTTTGGTTTAGCAAGGTCCATATATAGGGCCCAAAATCGACACTTGAACTTTTTGCATCGTTTTTCGAATGCATCGTCGTTCCAATTTATTAAAATAATGTAAGTAATGTAAGTTTCCTTGACTGTTGTATGTTAGAATATAATCAATCAAAAGTGCTTATCTCGCATTTGTTTGATGAGCTAGACGACTATCGATGTTTTAGGCTACTCGGCTGTGTTTTACTTAGTGTACAGTATGTTTTCGCATCAAAGGCTCACATTCAGGTGAAACTTGCTGCAAATTAATCGGATGACGAGAATCTCGTCAATGGCTATTCAGCTATTATTACCTATAATTCTTTATATTTGATTCGCTACTGAAATTCTCGTGTTCTGAACCAATTAAACAAGCAATTAATCACTCAAATAAGGTCGGCATCATAGTTATATTCAGTATCCCATCTACATATTCGACTACCAAAACATATGGCTATATATATATATATGGCGCCGTCCGACATCTGGTCTACGGAATATGGAAAAAAATGTTATTTCCACTTTGAAGTGAATCTTGGCCACCCTCCAACTCAATAGCCCCGTAGCTTTTCGGCTTTCTTACCAAAAGTTTGCAGCCCTACCAAATATTCTTATGAATTCACAGAAAGTGGTAAGAGTTTTTTTTTATTACTATATTGATGCTTTAATGATATGCAGCTTTTGCACGCTTGTTAGAGTATTAAGTCAATATTTTGTTTGGCTTTCAATTACGGCCACAAGTCGAAATGTAACGGCATAACACGCATACGTCGCACAAACATACACGTCATATATGACATATAAAACGAAAGATACGCTACATCCTTACAAGTTAATAATAGGCATAAAATAGATAAGAGATCATCTCCAATATTTCTAAAGTTAAGCAAGCAAAAAGAAAACTCGTCCGGCCGAATCAGCTAAATAATAATAAATGCACATAAGATATAAGGATAGGAACTAATTTGCAAAAGGAGTTTAGAGCTTTTTCTGCTTAGCAACTCAAAGGAAGTCATCGCATTTACCATATCCGGCATCTTTCGATGGGTATTTCGCACCCCTACCCTCACAGTCCAAGACCGAATAGTTGACTTCGAAAGAAGCCGTTGCTGGTCTCTCATTCTCTACAATCAGTCCATTAGACAATTTACCGCTAACTTAATAACAGCACTTACGATAACTTAAAACTATATATAGCAGCACAAAGACATTAAGCTTCTGTCCTCGCAAATCTTAAACACATACCGTACACAACCGAATAAACGCAAATACGTCCATTCATAGAGCGATTCAGAACTTGGCAATATACACCTTATGCCGTGTGGTAGGGTTCCTGCATCCTTCAGGGTTGGATAGAAATATATTTACAAAGTTAAAAAATCATATCGAATTTATGAAATACAAACTCTGAAAACAATTCCAACTTTAAGACATCTGAGAAAATTGAAAATAAAAACAGGTTGCATTAAATTCACGAAAAAGCAGCAGTTGCTCCCGCCCGAGCAATAGCCAACCGATTCGAAAGTTCTCCATGCTTCTACCCAGAAACTAAAATTTTGGGATAGAGCTTTTGAAGTTGGCTATGAATTCGACGATTGCATTACATATTTTTCTTTTTTGGTGTTCTCTCCAGAAATGGAATGAGGAAGAAAGCTAAAACATCGAAGTGTATTCTTTTGATGCGAAAATTGCAGACTAATGGAAAAGATGATAAAAGGTTTATTATAATAAAAAAAAATATATATATAAATACATTGCAGTGATTGTAATGCGGTTATCCCGAAACATGATTTTTCAAATCGCCTCGCAACGTGATTCCAACTACTTTGCTTTTTCTAGTGTGCCTCGCAGGGTTTTCATCGACAAATTATTTGGAACATATTTTACTAATAAAACATTGTCTTCATTGCCGTTAACACAAAAACCAATTCTTTTAAAAAATTCTATTAGCTTAGGGCATTCAGATTAAATGTTTGTTTTTTCCTTTTTTTGGGCTGGTCTTAAATAATCCACAAATGAGAAGATAAATAAAAGAGTAGAGATAATATATGTACAGATACGTGGTGCCACTTTGCAAGTTCACTTTTAAAACTTTACGTTTTTCTCTTGGTTTTTTAAAGTTCGGTTTGGGTTGTGCTTTAGTCGCTTTCCCAAATGATTGAAATTAGCCTTGTTTCGGTGTCTGTAAATTAATTTCAAAAATTTCGGATTCTGGACAAAGGGGCAATAATAATATTATTCGCTCAATACTTGTAGACCAACAACGCAAAAAACATGCGAACCTTATCATCAATAAGTGAAGAGAAGCTATTAGCGGATTAGCTACTCCAGCTGTTGAGACTTGTGAAAATGACGGTTCACAATTCTATTTGTAACTTCAGGTGTCCCGCCTTGAATAGCCTATCGACACAAATTGAAGGAAACTTGGACTGCTCAACACTCTTCGCATAAGTTATCATGCATTTGCTCAAATACACCTTCACGAGCCTGTAATAAGATTTGTGCAATTGTCATAAAAGTTTCGCCACATAACTGCAAAGCGTATTGCATCAAGCAAGCACGCAAAAGTCTGTACAGTCATTGAACTCAAACCTGAGACTTCCGCCGTCGCATGACATATTCGCCATTCCAAAAGCTCCGAAGCCTTCAAGGAAAACTTTCTCCTACACATCTACATCACATGGTATTTCAATTGACACACTTTCGACAGTTGTTTTCCATAATAACTGCCATAGCGGTAGTCCCGTAGATTCATTATAGGCTGAGATTTTTTACGTCATTTAAATTTATTACCTGAACTTATAAATTGAGTTTTACTGAATACAATGATTACACCCGCGCCTACATTAACATTATAAACATCTTATTATATCACGTATCACAAAACTCCTTGAGGAGTTTGGGCAAGGCCGTAATGTTGCAAAGTAGTTAAGCAATAAGAAAGTAAAATATCACATAGAAATGACCGACGCATCCAGTTACGGGAAGCCAGGGTACACTTTTGGATTTTAAGCGCTTTAGGAAACGGAATTTAAGCTCATGGCATCTTTTAACCAAGTCAAAGCACATTGTACGCAAGAAAAATGGAGATTGAGGACGTTGTCGCTACTATAGATTTTTGAATAAACTTACAGTGTCTGATCGATATCCGTTTCCTTTCGTAACTAGCTATGCGTTCCCATCACACGCACTATTTTATTCAAAAATAGATCTAATTAGATTTGACCGTGAAATTGTGGCATATGCGAACAAAATATGCAAATCTGCCATCATAACCTGTCTATGAATGGGTTTTGGTTTAAGCAACGCTGCTCAAAGACTTGAACGTTGCATGGTTGAAATCTTTCGCAATTTAGTTTTTTGATTTTAAGCACTCGCGAAAAACTTATTAAGCGTTGTTGTTAATTCATTTTAATGTGAATTAAAATTTCAGAAATAGACTTCTTTACATTCTTATATATTATTAGAACATAGCATCACTCAAAACGCATCAAAAAGTTCACTTAATAGTCGATTGAAAAAGTTGATCGATAGTTTTGTTGTTGCAAAGAGCTTTCATTGAAAATTTGTTCTCTTATTAAGCAAGCACTAAGAGAAAAAACTTTCTACATTTATGAAGAACCATAAGAACAAATATTTTGAAAAAACCTATCATAGTAAAAGGCTAAGCTGCCTTCTTGTTTGCGTCATCTCAAGATATTATACAGCGTAGTAGAATACTTAAAATTAACGTTAAGAGAAACACAATTTTAATTTTACTTTGTAGGTAATTTTGTTTTACGTATACTAATTAAATGAATATGTTAAGGTGAATTCATTAATTGCATTCCACCGGATGCATTCACCACACATAAAAAAACCTATTAACTGCGTACATTAAATAAACGGAGAAGCAGGGCCGAACAAATGAGGGGCAGCAGCAACACAATTTAATTACATAACATTTCTATTTATATTATGCATATTTCGTATGTATGTTATACATGAACTTGAATTTCAATTAGGAGAAAGGTAGTTACTTTAGCATTGAATTTTTCCCTTTTCAATTTATGTCCCAATTTTAACTCTCTTTGAAAAATACTATTTACAGCTATCTCTCCCACCTTTCCTTAATTTAATAGAAAAATGACAGCAACAAAGCCTCTTTCGATTAAGGTTGATTTATTGCTATGTATACATAGAGTTTCAGAATTCAGTGCAAATTACCACAGCCTGTGAACCTTCGTTAACTTGATGTAGACAGTGAATTTTATATTGAGTGCGTACGATGAGCCCTTAGGTCCCCGACATAATAAAAAGCAGACTAGCAAACCTATTCTGTATTATTGAGTTATGATTTTGTATCAAACTTGATATATCGGTACTATAGTCGCCGTTTGTTGTAAAACAACATTGCTAAGTCGCAAGAAAACACGAGCAAAAAATTTTTTTTCCGCTGATGTGTCTCTAATGTTATTCAGATTATGACTATAAAAGGTAAAACCAAGGCAGTCATTGTAGTAAATTGCCAGATTAAAAAGCAAACTATTGAGCAATTTTGGAGAAAGACACAGCGTAAAAAGAGTGTCTCATTTAAAAGAAACAATTTAAAGTCCTATAACTGAGACAAAGATTAAGAAGCCTTAACAAAAAAATGGTAGTAATAATCAAATCAAGAAGAATAACATAAAGGCAGCACTAAATGTATTCGGAGAACAATTTTCGTAGACAAGAAAAACAATATTAACATCTCGAAATTCCGACCCCCTGGAACAAGTGATATATATTTCATTCCCAGCAGAATATACACACTTGACGTCCTATTGTCAGATCAAGTTATCAAGATTTCGCAGAGCAAAACAAAAAACAACAACACTAGCAATTGTAGCCGAAACAT